GTGTGTGTGTGTGTGTGTGTGTGTGAGGGCTGTGCAATTAATCATATTGTAATCGCAATTACGATTTTGGCCTGCCACAATTACGAAAACAACATAATCGTAAAAAACGATTATTTTGCTTTGCTAGGTTGTGACAGTGCACTACAACATATTTGATCTAATTAATTTTTTAGTAATGTATCATTTATTTAATTAATTTTTGTATTGGTTTTTCAGTTGAATTATACGTTCAGGGTAATCAACAGTTAAAAAGATACTGTTCAAATTATTATCTGTTTTAAAGTTCAATAAATTGATGTTTTCAAAGTCAATGAATAATCGTATTTAATAATCGTGATATTAATTATTGACCAACATAATCTTGATTATTGCCATAATCGAGCAGCCCTAGTGTGTGTGTGTGTGTGTGTGTGTGTGTGTGTGTGTGTGTGTGTGTGTGTGTGTGTGTGTGTGTGTGTGTGTGTGTGTGTGTGTGTGTGTGTGTGTGTGTGTGTGTGTCTGAGAGAGAGTGACAAGAGCTATATTCAGAGCTCTGCTGCCTTGGCTACACTATTTCATCGTTGCTGTTGTATGATTGGTGTTTAGCTACGGTATTTAGCGTCTACAGCACCTCCGCTTTTAGGGTTGACGTAGACCCTAACTTAGCCCGGAGGTCCCCCGGTGTTGTTGCGGGAGCTGCTGCATTAGCTAACGCTGCACTAGCTAACGCTGCATTAGCTGCTGCTGCACTAGCTAACGCTGCATTAGCTGCTGCTGCACTAGCTAACGCTGCACTAGCTAACGCTCCACTAGCAAAACAAACACTAATTTCTTTTGCAAAAGGTGCAGCGGGCTTCAAACACGTTCCCTCCACTGGTTTCAACCAAGCACTAAATTAGATGTTTTCCAACCAAATACGGTTGAACTTACACTTCCCCATATTTATTTGTAAGTAGATTCGAAGATAGGCTACATGAGCTTAAGCTTGGTTGCTAGGTTACTAGCTGGGTGTTCTCCAATAAGGGGCCGGGGGAAACAAAGTTAGTGATTACTGGTTCCATGTTGATTTAATTCAATACAAATTGTTGGGGGGAACTGAAAGGCTATTACCGTACTGGTTACTTTGCAGCCCGGACATTTCCCCCAAAACACATTTAGACGCTATCGCAACATAGAAGTACCTTTCAAATCCGATAATTTTTAAGACCTTCTGAATCATATTTAAGACCTTTTTAAGGCCTTAAATTCTGATTATCAAATGTAAGACTTTTTAAGACTTGTTAAGACCCCGCGGGAACCCTGATTGTAACTTTTTTTAATTGTCTGAACTTCTCCCACCTCTGACAATAAATCCTGAGTGTTTACCCTGCTCTGAAGGTTATTTTCATTTTACAAATCCTGCACTCAGCTTTGCTTTCTCCAGTATCATTGAAAAGCAGCCGGATGCTGCTTCTTTTTTCGGTTTTCGCTCATTTCTTGACTTTTTCCGACGCGCTTGCATTTAAATCCGGCTCCCCGTCTCCCCGTCGCTCTGCACATGCTGTGCCCCCACCCTTCTTTCACATAATGGTATGATCCTAGTGTGTCCTCGCATATGATTGGCCGCATGGTGGCCCAGCTAAATAAAGACCCGCCCCTGCCTGCAAGGATTCTCAGCAAGAGTAGGAGCGGCTGAAGATTCTGCTTTCCCCGACGGGAGTCTGCTCTTCTAGCGGCAGCTCGCGATCGGCGTGTTGGAGACCTCTGAATTAAAGTAGCAAGTCACCTCAAGTCAGAAGGCTCAAGTCCAAGTCAAGTCCCGAGTCATTGGTGTTCAAGTCCAAGTCGAGTCGCAAGTCTTTTGTGATGTTGTCAAGTCGAGTCTCAAGTCATAAAATGTGTGACTCGAGTCTGACTCGAGTCCAAGTCATGTGACTCGAGTCCACACCTCTGCCATCTGGTGTCAATTTTGGGACAGTGTGACAGGGGCTTTAACCTTAACCAATCATTTCATTTGCCTTAACTTAACCCTACCTTAACCAAAGAAGTGACTGATCAGAAAAGTAAAGCATTTTTCTGTTTAGGAAGGAACTGACAGAAGTTGTTCTACCATTATCTCATAATGGAAATGTTACTGACGGCCTCATAACATTTAGCTTTTTAGTGAAACATTTATTGTTTAAATAAACGCAATCCTGATAAACAAAGAGGACTCAGATAAGAGGATCTATAGATGTGAGGAGTAGGACTGTAAAGCAATAGATTAAAAAAAATATTTCCTGTCATTTCCTTCTGGTCAGGTGATTGTCAGTAAGCAAGGCTTATCATAACCTCTTGCACCACCGCACAACATAACAGTACAAATGATAAAAACTGAAGGTTTGCGAAACTTAAATTAAATTGTCATGTTAGCTGTGATGAATTATCTCACACAGTGGATGATGTTTCATATACTGTATGACAGGAAAAATCAGTGAATGGTTTCATCAGAAGGGAGGAAAACAAGTCCTGATATCTCCAACAAACACAAGGAGGGGTGCGGGGAGAGAGAGAGGCATGTTAAACAGCTGGCACCAACCTCAAAGCAGTTTTTCCTCAGGACAACATTTCTGGAGCATCTCATCGCACTTAAACATTTCAATTATCATCAGCATACATTTGCACAAACCAATTAATGGTTTGGCTTCAAATTTTAGTTTTTTGATTGCATTATTTTTACTTTTCTTTTGTCATCTTGATGGTTTACTGTAGATGATAGTTTACTTCTATCGTGAGTCCTTACATTTTCTGTGGCATAGCTACAAATTACCTCTTATTTTATTTTAAATTAATCTTAAATGTATCTTTTCACTGTATTCCCATTAGTCATCCTCCTTCTCCTTTCTCAATATTATTCTTGATCCTCTATATACATTATTGTTTCTGAAGACAGCAACAACAAAGGCCTTGCACAGTAAGTCTCTTTAGTTTTTATATATATATATATATATAATATATATATATACAGTATATGTACATTTCCCCCGTTTATTACATTGTACAGCTGGAGAGAGACAGAAAGAGACAAACCTTTGCGACAAGGACTTATCCTTTTAGAATCTGTGCTTTAGTTTTAGTCCCGGTTTTGTTTCTCTTGACTGATCAGTATGCGGTTGCAGCAGAACTGTCAGGGCACAGCGGCTCTGATTATTACACTCCTTACTCTTGGTTGCATGTAATATCGAGTATTGGTTTTCTGCAGTTATTGTGTTGTCGCTGTGGGGGAAAGCGTTAGCTAAATGACTAAAATGTCAATGTAGATTAGTACCAGCGGTGTTGTGTTTAAGCTCAGCAGTCAAGAAATTACTAAAATGGTTTGTCAGCTTCCAGAAATGTGTTTTAAGCTGTGAGGAATCTGTGGTGGATTCTGCTCAAGAACAGCAGAGAGTGAGAAGATTTGTCCCGAACAATAAAGCTACACACTATATGCACAAAGACCAATGTAAGCCCAAACAGAGTTAGTATTTGTAGCTCTTAAAACACTCACACACACAGCGGACACACACCCTCAGACACATTCAGACACATTCAGACACATCTATGCCCTGCAGTGTTTTGGTAAACAGGTCTGGGTGTTCTCTGGACTTCAGACCAGACACAGCAGCTCCTGGGACTCCTGTCTGCATGTCACTCCTGCCAGGGAAAATATTTCAAGATATTCTCCCCTTAGCTTCAACCTTTTTGATTGTCATGTTTTTACTTCAACTGGGCGTGAATAAGATGTTCAGGTTTCATGACCCCTGGGACTTTTGGACCCATTTAGAACAAAGGATGGATTTTCCCAAAAGCTACAGCAGTTTTTCTGCTTACCTACAGAGATTGGTATTTATTTTTTTAAGGATTTTGGCCTGACAAAAGCAACTTCCATCGTCCATCACTCCTCCTACTGTACATGCCCTTCAACCACCCTTGGAGCTGCTCCCTGGCGTCATGCCTGGACAAAACGTGTGCCCACCCCCATATTTCCCAGGACAGAGGGTCTCGTAAACAGGGCTGGAGGGCAGATGTAGGGGGCGGCGGTGACTTTGGGCCACGCAGCCGGTTTTGGCTGGAGCACTAAAATAACTGAAGATGGAAGATTGAGATTATTGCTGACTCAAGTCCAAATGCAGCGGCCCACAGGACATTCGCTGAGCCAGATGTTGTGATGCTCTGGTGTCGATACTGAAGCAACACAGAAAGGTTGTACAGCTGATAATAAATGCTACTACACTCTTCCTTTTAGGTGGTTGCCATCGTGGAAATCGTTCTGCTTGAATGTATCCCCCCCACAACTAAAGATATTCTAAGACATAAAACAGGAGCCGTAAATGTATAACAATATAAACCCTTACACTGTATGTCGTTTACCACCTACCAATTTTGTACCATTCATCACTTGAGAACAAAGCTAAATCTGATTCCCATCAAGGTAGCTAATTACACCAATTAAGGTGCATTAGCGATCTTAACATTTTTTCTTAAGTGACCATAATGGCTGCATTATTTTGTGATAAAAGAGGAGTAGCTAAGAAGTCTGACGCCACAGTCTTTGTTTAGTAAAACACATCTCTTTTAGTCAGGGCCCTCTAACTTAAATTGTCAACCTTTCATCCCACTGATGATAGTGAGGCTTAATACTGTTAAAATACACCTTTATTTTAACTTGTGAACTTGTGGAAGAGTACATTTATCTTCTCCTTCTATAAAATACAAGAGTATTTTTCTGTATATTTCTGTAAAGGACAACAATAATTAGCCGTAAGTACTAGTATTAGACTGCTTTATGTGGCTTCAATCTTCTTTGAGCTGGCAATGTAACGGAAATGCTTTTCTTATAATGCTATGCATTACTCATTATTTCAAACCTTTAACGGCTAAATTGTCTGCAGAAACTGTAAGTGGATTTTTGAGTTTCCATTAGCTAAGGCTGGGGGGAACCTAATGTTTTGACCCTTTGACCCTTATTCCCATGTCAGATAATTACACATTTATACTCAAAATTGCTCTCATGTGGCTCTTACCCGTCGTTGAGTCGGATCAGTATGGCCCTGTAGAGCTGGTGCTGTGGGCTGTTCGACTCCGGACCACAGGGGTGGATGAACGGGTGAACGGACGCAAGAACAAAGCCCTGCTGGTAAAGCTCCTGCAGCTGACCCGGCAGCTCGCGCACCGATGAGAGGCGCAGCGTGGACGTCCCACCTGAAGGAAACAAAGGGCAACGAATACGTTAGACAAGGCAAGGCAAGTTTATTTATATAGCACCTTTCAACACAAGGCAATTCAAGGTGCTTTACAAAAATGAAAGACATTCAGACAAAGGCATTTAAAAACAGTCATTAAAAATAAAAAATAATAAAAGAAACATTAAAAGAAAAAATACATGAATAAAAAGTACATGAATACAAATCACATGAATAAAAAGTTACAGTGCAGTTTAAGATATGAATAGTTCACACAGAAGTTACACTTTACTGATGAACACAACGGCTCAGTTTCAATTAAAAGCAGAGACCAAAAGAAGAGTCTTCAGCCTGGATTTAAAAGTAGTCAGAGTTGCAACGGACCGGCAGGTTTCTGGGAGTTTGTTCCAGATATTTGGAGCATAATAACTGAACGCTGCTTTACCATGTTTAGTTCTGACTCTGGGGACAGAAAGCTGACCAGTCCCTGAAGACCTGAGAGATCTGGATGGTTCATAATTTAGCAGGAGGTCAGAAATGTAATTTGGGCCTAAACCATTCAGTGCTTTATAAACCAGCAGCAGTATTTGGAAATCTATTCTTTGACACACAGGAAGCCAGACAGTGTAAAGACTTCAGAACAGTGTGATGTGATCCACTTTCTTAGTGTTAGTGAGGACTCGAGCAGCGGTGTTCTGAATCAGCTGCAGCTTTCTAATAGTTTTTTAGTGAGACCTGTGAAGACACCATTGCAGTAGTCGAGTCTACTGAAGATAAAAGCATGGACAAGCTTTTCCAAATCCTGCTGTGACATTAGTCTTTTAATCCTAGATGTATTCTTTAGGTGATCGTAGGCTGATTTAGTAATTGTTTTAATGTGACTGTTGAAACTCAGGTCAGAGTCCATGACTACACCTAGATTTCTGGCTTTATCTGTTGTTTTGAACATTGCCGGCTGAAGCTCTGCGCTAACTTTTATACGTTCTGCCTTGGCTCCAAAAAACATTACCTCAGTTTTGTCTTTGTTTAATTGGAGAAAGTTCTGACACATCCAGTCATTGATTTGTTCAATGCACTTACTCAGTGTTTTAACTGGAGAATAGTCTCCTGGTGAAATGGTTATGTAAATGTGTGTGTCATCCACATAGCTATGGTAACTTATTTTGTTGTTTTTCATTATCTGAGCCAGTGGTAGCATGTAGATGTTAAAGAGAAGAGGCCCCAAGATGGAGCCTTGAGGAACCCCACATGTCATATTTGTCAACTCAGATGTGTATTTACCTATAGAAACAAAGTTGTTCATGTCCTTTAAGTAGGATTCAAACCAATTTAGAACTGTTGATGAAAGTCCCACCCAGTTTTCCAGTTGGTCTAGTAATATGTTGTGGTCAACAGTGTCAAACGCAGCACTGAGATCTAATAATACTAACACTGAAGTTCTGCCACTGTCTGTGTTTAAGTGGATGTCATTGAATACCTTTACAAGAGCAGTCTCAGTGCTGTGGTTTGGACGAAAGCCTGACTGGAACACATCAAAACAGTTATTTAAATGAAATAAATTACTCAACTGTTGAAAAACTACTTTTTCAATGATTTTACCTAGAAATGGGAGGTTTGATATGGGCCTGTAATTGTTCATTACTGAAGCGTCTAGATTATGCTTTTATAAGAGTGGTTTAATGACTGCAGTTTTCAGGGCCAGTGGAAAAACACCTGAGTGAAGAGATTTGTTTACTATATGAAGTAGACAATACAATTTCAATGGAAACATCTTTGCTGCTGAGTGCTGTGTTGTAAGTGCATTTGAAGAAAGTTGAGATTTTGCCTTCTGATTATGGTGGAAATGCTCAATTTTATACATGCTAATACCAGTTTTTTATGCCAATCATTTGTGATAAGAAGCAGTACAAATCACTGGTAACTGGCAAAGTGAGTTTTAAAATGAATGTCATTTCTATTGTCAGTGTAATGTCCCTTGCACTGTCAGCTTTTCTTCCCCTTTATCCTCACAACCTCCCTCTACCCCCTGCCTCAACATAGACCTTTCCAGACCTTGTCAAACCCCACCTGTCAACCAGATGCCTTTAATTCTGTCCTGCCCTGTATTCCTTCCCTGTTGCACCTGGCATGTGACATTTATTTTAATTTTATTGAGAACGATTTAGCACCTATAGTTGTTCCAGTCTTCATACAGCTATGCAAGAAATATGAATGGCATTGAATAAATGCAGGTAAGTCTAAGATAAACCAATGAAAGGAAACATTTTCCCCTGCATTTCTTAGTATCTGGACTATTTCTGCCACTCTATGCAATTATGTAAATTGTAGTCCTTTTTCACAGCAGTTAGCCTCTTTTTGATTTCTTCCGTTTAATTAATGTTGGATTTCTTTGCTTTTGTAGAAAGGTTCTCTTACAGCTAGACATGTTCTCAAACTGCACTAAAACAGAAAACGAAAGAAGGAAAACGGCTTCACGAAAAATAAAAACAATACAAAGGCCACGTGAAGATTTGCAATTCAGATGCCAAATCTGATTCATTCGCAATTTGTTTTGGCAATTAGTACCACGTTTTCGCTCCATCCCCTCAATCTGGGAGTCAATAAGAGTGGCTCAAAATCCAATCAGAGCTGATTGCTTCAGCTCTGTATCACGGCAGCTCTTCTGACACTTGCTTTGATTCCCTATCAGCTCAACGTAACTGTCCAATAACAGCAGACAGGGACGTGACATTAATACAGTGCTATCAGTCAGTGGCCAGCTGTTTAAAAAAATAAAGTTTTGGACATAGTGCTGCGCAAAGCTCTTTCTCAGCGCTATTTTCTCCCTGCCACCTCCCTGAGGGATGACAACCTGCAGCAGACAGCCGCTGGTGACTGCCTTTCATGAAGCAAGCAGCTGTGTTACAAAAAGCCACACGCAGCTCCTGTCAGGCAACATCGGCCAATCAGGATGTATGGTAATGAGTTCGGGAGGGAAGAGTGGTTCAGGTTCAGGAGTAGGAGCAATTAGATTAGTAAATGGAGAGCTTGATAGCAGGAAGGAGAGGAGGATGGATAGGAAATATGGTGGAAGGAACAACAGAGAGGTCCAAACAGAGAGAAAAAACTGAGAGATGGTGCATGGCCCCGGATGCATGACGGCTGGATCCCAGCAGAGCGCTGTACGCGGCAACATTTAATACAGGCCAAACAGCTGGGGCACGTGGGAGAGCGCCAACACAAAGAGCTGGATGCAAAACGAGAGACCAGGGAGAGGACAGCAGAGGAGGGAGGCAGGGAGAGCGGAGGTCTGGTTGTCTGAACGTCTGAACGAGCTGTCACAAGACGTGGGAAATGCCGCTATGGCTAATTAGAGTCAATGAGACTATACAGAACTCAACGTTCAAATCCATGGGAAAAGTCAGGGTCCACAAGTTCAATTGGAGGTCAGAGAAAGGATGTCGAGAGAGAGAGAGGGAGGCCAGTGTGGGTGGAACATACTGTAGGCGAGACGTTGCCAGACACTTCTTTGTGTGTTTGGTCTCAGGTAGAGTCAGCGACACTAAATAATTTCTAATTATAGCAGTATTGTGCATGACAAGGCTGGAATGCAATTGATTTTGTGTATTTGGACACAGAATACTCAATATTTAAAATCCAAAACCTTAGATTAAGTGTATATTATGTGAATGATATCTGTTTTTGAGTTATTCTGCTTGTGACTCCAACATCTGCAGTTCATGACTCTAACTTCCATCCTCTTTTCGGATATGGGACTGTCATTGTACTGTAGAAAAAAACATAATTATGAGCACTTTAAAACGGTTTTCATTCCATACACACAGTGTATTTTTCCCACGATGCAAACACGAGGGCATCAGAGGCTAAATTGAGGTCATTCGCACACAGTTAAACTCCTGACACCATGAGCATGCTCTCACACACTCGGAGTGCTGTTGCTTGTTTGACGTCAAAGTCGTGTTAAAGTGTGCAAAGCAGCTCTGCATAACATCTGCGGTATGTATTACCGTTGGGCACTGCACACAAAGCTAATAGGCTTGTTTGAGACAAGCGAGACCTGCGCAGACCTGCGCAATTTCGATCAACGTCTTGCTCGTGCGTTGCATGATGGTTAGTCATTTTGTCCGACTTGCTCTGGAGGCTCGCCTACATGAGACGTTGAAATCTCGCGGAACAAAGACGCCCGCAGCCTTGAGAGCGAGGCGCGGAGAGGCGCGGCGAGGCGGCGCAGTTCCTCTCCACGGGCTGCGAAAGCGAAATGCTTGATGGGAAACGACTCGCTGGTATCTCGAGCTGAGCGCTCATTGGTGGTTTTTTCCACGTGCTGGTAATGAAACTCTCCAATTGGCTGGGCAAAATGTTGTTGTTGTTGTTTTGTGTCAGTTTTACGTCGCCACTTCCATTCACATTTTTCATCATTGTTCCACAATATTTATCATCATTAAATTAATATCCATATACTACTATACTTGCACTGCTTACCGTTTTCATACTTTATATATCTTAGCATATTCATACACACTGTTCATACTGCTCTCAGGCTGCTGTGTATCTAGTGTATTCATACCCCTCACTGTTTATTCATCATTCAATTCATTCTATATTTTATTCTGTCTATTGTGTACATTACTTTTCACTTTACTGCTTGTTGCACCTGGTTAGAAGCTAAACTGCATTTCGTTGTCTCAGTACCTGTAATATGTGCAATAACAATAAAGTTGAATCTAATCTTGAGCAGGAACAAATGTATTTACTTAGTACATATCTGACATTAACGATTAAACACATGTGTGCATTCTTTATAAATGCAAACCGAGTCAAGCCGACTCCGGAGGTGGCGGTATGCACCTTAAAGTTGTTTAATCCGTTGCAATCCGCCAAAAAACCGAGAGAAGAAGAAGAAGACGAAGCCGACTCCGAGCATGGACCATAGAGGCATGAGGCTTGTTTGAGACAAGCAAGACCTGCGCAGACCTGCGCAGTTGCGATCAACGTCTTGCTAGTGCGTTGCATGATGGT